AAAATGCCCAAAACGACATTTTCCCCGTTTTCTGTTTTCTTCAGTATTTTTTTTGGTGTTTTCGAAAATACGTTTTCGAAAACGGGAAAGAGAACACGTTTTCACCGTTTTGAAAAATCGAAAACAGAAAACGGCTTGAAAACAGTAAAGAGAACAGGGCCTTATTTTTTGTTAGTTACTCCAAGTTACATTTTGACCTGATTTATTGTGTATAGAATGCGTCTTCTTTGAATTTTATCCATGCGTCCTTGGACTATTCCTATGATAAGTGCAAAAAAGAAATAATAGGTCTTGACTGAAATTCATTGTCCTTCTCATTTTAAAATGATTACAGAGCTTCTTTGAAGAATATGCGTCTGATAGTTTGTTTCATCCCTATTCTAAAATATCTGGATTCAAGGAAAAACAAAATATTTATTCTATCCAACATCATTTGCCTAGAGGTTGAGTCCCATTTGGCATGGCTTTTAAAAAGTCAAAATGAGCTTTTGAAACCCAAAAGTTGTTTTTGGACCCGTTTAACTAATTTTGTGAAAGTGCTTCTGATAGTTAGAAGAGCTTTTAGAGGAACGTGACATTCCTCTAAAAACACTTTCGGAATTGGAAGTGCTTTTAAAAATTAATTTCAAACAAAAATTAAGGTAACTTCCTCCAAAAACTATTCTACGAAAAGCAAAAGATATGCCAAATGGGCCCCAAGTATTACCAGATTGTCTATGTGGATTTGACTTTTATCTACGAGTGCATAAAATTGACTCCTATCATTGCAGGTTAATGCTGTTGAGAAAACTCCTTCAATGAGTGAGTTGAATGAGATACTGCTTGGACAGGTATCTATGTGATGTTTGTGCCTTGATTATTCTGCCAACCATTTATTCGATACCCAACAGATAAACCTCTCACTTATCAAGTTCTGATGCAGGATGGATAAACACTTAATAAAGCCTTAGTTTAAATCATTAAGTCTGGAGTTGATTTGTGTTTTATGCAACTTTTTTGCTTACCTCGTCATCTTTAGGGTGCTTATCTACCCTAGCAAATGGAAAGAACGCTATTGCTGACTAAGTTGACAATCTACATAAAGTATTATCCAATTTGTCTTCCTCAACTCCCAGACCTTTCTTTGCTACTTGAAGCCTTTTTATTTTCCCTTCTCTTCTGTTTATGACATGAAGTGGTGCTATTTTTACAGGAACATCTTAAACAGAGTGATCTGTCCTTCGTCTTCCGACTGCAGGTATGATGTGGCATGGCAAATATTATTTTTAACCCATGAATTTCAACATTAAAGGATGTTCACAGGAACTTGGAACTGCAATCTGAATTGATCCCGAGGCTTATTTGAGCTATGTTATTGGTGCAATTTTCCCCGGTTGTTTTAACTTTTAACTTCCTTATTCATTTTGGGTGTTTGTTGAAGTTTTCTACAAACTTAATTGTATTTGAAGTTTACTATATTTTGGATCGAGGCTGTTGAAGATCTTCGACGGTTGGTATAGATGAAAACTGAAGTCATGTTATAAAAGCGATTATCTGGTTACTTATTGGCTAAATAAGAATAATACATTGTTTCTGCCTGCCTTGATGGATATTAACTACCTTTCTATATTATCCTTTGTAGGAAAACAATGGGTATGTCAAGAGATATTTCAAACTTTCTGAAGTTATTTGCTTTGGACCATTTATTTGTTATGCACATGCTCGACTTAGATTCTTTTTCTTTTGTATCAAAATGAAATTTTTGTTTTCATTTGTTCAGGTTACTTTTACCCTGATTGCTCATTGAAGCTGTATAAATGCACCCCTTTGATTCTGTTTCCTCCCCCGCTCTCTCTGACCTTGGAGTCAAAAGTTTTTTGATGTATCCTTGTCATTCAGGTAGCTGATGATTCAACTCTGTATGGTTGCTGCATTTTAGTTGAAGAAATCATACAAAAGCCATCAGGATTGATTTCCATGGTTTCAGATGGGCAATCACCTCCCTCAAGTCTGAGCCGCCACATTTTAACCACACGCCGATGCTACTGTATTCTTTCTAGGCTTCCCTTTTTTGAACTTCATTTTGGTGTACTGAATAGGTATGTGACTAATTCTCGTCTGTATGATACAGCATATGGTGCTTTCCTATTTTGAAGCTATGATCGTAATTTCATAATCTGCGTGTATAGTGTGAAGATGTATGTATTATAGTTACTTGCATTACTAAATTGTTATGAGATTATCAGCTTTCAGTAAAAAGGTACACACATGGCCTACTTGTCCCATAAGAAAAAAGGATTGTGAAAAAACATAAACGTGAGAGAAACAAAAGGAGCTGGTGAAAAGAATACCTGGAAGTAGCAGCCTTGGACGAAGAGAATACAAGATGAATATTATGTTGCATATGAATCTACCGATAGATCTACTCATCTCTCAAATTATCTATGGATACATCAGTTTGTATAACTTGGCCAAGGTTTTCATATCTATTAGAATTTTGCGTTCCCATTTTGATTTTTGATTTCAGTGGCCAGTGGTACAAAATTACTTCAAGATGGAGAAGGAAAGGAATATTAGCTAATTTTATGATTCTTTTTTAACTATGCATCATAAGTATTGGTTTTGTAGAAAATTCTGCATTTCCATAATTGTTGCAGAAAGATATAAGCACTTGGCGGTTGGCTGTTAAAGCTCTATAACTATATATTTCTTTCTTTCCTGTGTGTGTAAAGTGGATTGTTGGTGTAGATTGCCTGCCTGACAGAACACAGAAATTGTTCTCTTGCTATTCCTTCTGCTGATGTAATTTTACCTTTTGCATTCTGCTGTAGCATCTTAACTGAAGAGAGGCTGGAACGGTTGACGAAACAAATTAGTAGTCTAGATTTGGAATCATCTGTTGGCTATGATGAGGTTGAAATTTTGGAGGAAAAATCTGGTGGCATATTGCTGGAGGATGGAGCAGTCAACATGCTGAATGGGATGGTTGGAGCTTCCCTTCTAAGCACGACAGGTTCTATCTCAGAAAGAGTAACAGACGATATATCTCATCTTGGTCATGAAAGTTTAGATATAGACATTTACTCCAAGATAGATCTTAATAGTGATGTTGTCCCACTTCATCCCGGGAAAGAGAAGCTTGTTTCTAGTAGAGAATTTGCAGTTGATACTTCTGCTGACCACAATTTTACCAACAAAGAATCAGCAGACAAATGTCTAACAAATGCAGTTTTACCGCTATTACAGTGTCAGCAATGTGAAAGCTCTGAATCTTCCTCCAGGTATATTATTCTGTGCTTTGCTCTCTGTTTTCACTATATTATTGCTAAAACTTGAAATATATAGGCCACTTGCTTATATTAAAGAGATTTCTTAAATAGATTCTAATGAGCACGTTTAGGATCATTCTGGTTTTCTTACCTTCAAATGGCCATATAGTGTGTAATGTGATCTTATGATATCTCAAGTATCTAGATAGCAGGAAAAATATATATATACATATATGTACATATATATATGTACATATATATGTACATATGAACATATATAGCCTATTGCCTGTTCTTCTACCGCACTAGAATCTCTTCTATCACTTCCTTCGGTATGGTCCATGTCGAAGACTGTTCCCATTTCATTCTTTGTAGAGGGTATATTGAATGTCATTAATCCCCGTTTAAGTGCTTTTTCTCTGTATTGCTGACAAGCATGCATAAATACTATACAAATATGCTGTTCTATGATGAATGGCACCTATTATTGTTTTGTTGATACTTCCTAGCAATGAGAAACCTTATCAACTGCAGCATGGATGCCTTGACTTCACAATTTTCTGTAATTCTGTTGTCCAATATTGACCCAGATTAATGTCACAACATATGCAGTTTTCAAGACTCTCCAAGTGAAGATAGACGTTTCAAAAGTGATGTCGACGAGACAGAAACAGAAGAGGCATCGTCATCTGGCCAAGATATTTTTAGCGAGCTCAGTGATACCCTTGAGTGGGCTAAGGTTTGAATCTTGTTTTCCCCTGTGCATTTCGATCTCTTTTTGAGGTCATTATTTAGCTATTGAAAGTCTTTGATAGCTTGTTTATCCATTTCTCCTTTGCAGGCAAATAACCATGGATCCCTACGAATAATTTATGAATATTACCAATTATGCTGCCCAACACGGGGTTCAACTATCAAGTTTCATCCTCTAGAACACCTGCATCCTCTGGAATATTATAGACCTGATGAAATAGTTCTGCGCATTGCTGGATCAACAATTGATTTGGGATCATGTAAAACAAGTTTAGAATTAGCCGAGGTACGTCAGAGTTGGCATCCCCCCATCCATTCCTCTTTTTTTTCTTACTGACTCGTTTTTTTCTTTATGAATAAACTTTCACCTTGGTTAAATGGACAAAAAGATGAAATTAATTAGATATCAATGAGGAACGAGGACAAGTCTAGGTGTCTGTGGCATACCTGTTCTCAACTCTGTTTAGTTACTTTGTGTTCACATTTTTATGTCCTGTCTACTGATGGTCTTAATTTCATATATTGATCTCACCTTGTAGGTGCACAGTGCACTCATGGTGGAGGAGGAGGCAACTGCTTTAGCAGTATGGACTGTTGCTTGCTTATGTGGTTCCCTGCGACTGGAGCATGTAAGTATATCACTTCTGCAGAAAGGAATTTCTTTATGTTTTATCCAAGGGAATGATGATATGTAGGAATTGTTCCTAATGCTTTCAATTCAAGACTTGGCATACATACAACATATGGCAGAGGCTACTCATATTTGTAGACATGACTGTGGATGGTCCTATATTAGTGAAACTTACTGGGAAAGTTTTAGACCTGTCCATCTCCTTTGTAGTTTAGTAAATATTTTGCTAATGGTTGCCTTTTATAGGTATTGACATTAATTGCTGGGGCTCTACTGGAGAAACAGATTGTGGTTGTTTGTTCAAATTTGGTAAGTTTTCATTTATTTGGATAGCTCGTGTACTTATCATATATTCTTTTCATATGAATATTTTTGGAACTTATTCTATTTTCCTGTAGTCCGAATGTTTATTCATTATGCTATCTTTTTTTTCTGAATTCTTTTAGACACTTACTTTGACTCGTCGTTCATAACTGTTGACCCTCTTGTCCATAACTAATGCAGCTGCCATAATATATGTTTGGATAAACGTAAGGGGATATCTTGCTATTGGAAGCTTGGTTTGGAAAAATTAACCCAGATCTAGCTAACTTTAACATTCTTGCTATTTGCATCGCAATTTTTATTTCTCTTTTTGTGCATTGTCTGATGCTAGATGAAAAAAGAGATTAGATTTCAATGTTTTATCTTTTGTTTTTGTATGCAGGGTATCTTGTGTGCTTCGGTTCTGTCAATTATCCCCCTGATACGTCCTTATCAGTGGCAGAGTTTGTTAATGCCGGTATTTTTCCTTTCTCGTCTACAGTTTTCCTTTTATTGTTTTGACGTGATTTTGTTAGTTGATTTTATTTAGATTCTTATATTTACTTACTCTCTTGCTATCATATTGTTGTTCCTTGGCATGTATCATATTCAGGTTTTGCCTAATGACATGCTAGACTTTCTGGATGCGCCGGTTCCTTACATAGTGAGTTTCTCATACTTCTGGCTGTTCACCGGTTCTAATCCTGTAACCAAGATAGTGGCCTGCTGCTTCAATTTGCTTAAACTCAACTTCTGTCCTATAATTGCATCACTTTTCCTTGTTTCTTTGTTCCTAATGGAATGTTCACATGCAATGTATTTTAGTTACATGATTTATCTCATGTCCTACCCAGGACCAAAACACGCGCTTTTGGGCATGTGATATCTGCTGCATACTTCAGCCCATAGTGTACAAGGTTCAAAACATTCAAATACGTGTAATATCTCTCTAATTCAAACCCTTAATGTACGGCTGACGACGGACTCTCAAATCGAACAATAGAACTGTTAAAGAAGAGGGGAAATAAGGAGAGGGGAGAAAAAGGAGGGAGGGAGGGGGAGAGAGACATTGTAGTTTACTCTATATCAAATTGTCATTAAAACAATGCACCAACCTTTATTATATAAGGTTTTGCATAGAATTTAAGTAAGAAATAATGTAAAATACTAGAAAATCCATGAACACCTTATTGCTTTCGCAAAATGAGTATCCAAACAATGTTATATCATTACAGATCTCCATAAACAGCTCTCCATATTTTCAAATGTAACTATCACAATGATACAAAGGTAGGCATTGAAATAAAACAAATATCCTGACATTCATAAGGTTAAAGTTGAATTTCTCCTCTACAATGAAAACTTTTAAATAACATCCAGGTTTCTGGAAATGAAGAATCAGTGCTGTTAGTCGAATCTTATATACTTAAAAGTGAACTCAAAAGCATGATCTAAATCTGAAATTATAATAAAGGATGAACTGGCTAGTCAAGTTAATAGATACTGTGTTGCTGAGCAACTGAATCATGTATCCATAAATGTAAAAGTAAGCATTGTCTGAGTCTGAAATGAATCAATGATAATAAATGATGCTAGTCAAATCAAATGAATAGATACTGTGTTTTATGATCGTATATTATCACCATTTAGCCCCTTTTTAATGGTCATTTTTTCTATAAAAGAATGTTTTGAATAGTGATTTTTAGGAGAATGTGTGGTTAGAAAGTAGGAAAAAGTTTTGGATTTACGTGCAAAATATTTTATTGTATAAATGTGTAGTTGAAAATTAGTGTGCAAAAAAAAGTTTTCAAATAATGGTTGTCAAACAAGGTAATCGGTAACATGGAGTATGATATCATAACAGTAATTTCCTAATTGTAGAAATTAATTGAGCTGTGAGTTAGGATAGTTCAATAGTCACAAGCTTTGATGCTATTTCTAGTCTGAAGATTGCAGAATTTAAGAAAATTCGATTATATTTGTTTTATTTATTCAGTATTTCAGTAGTGTAAAACATGTTTAAGATGATCACTATTTCTTCACTAAGAAAAATTATTTATTTTATCTATTAGTTTACGGAAATCTCTTTAACAGAAGTATGTTGGGCAAATATTTTAATTGTATATATGGCTAGTCATTACTTAGGCATGACTAGATGTGGCTGTGGGTACTAACCAATTACCACTATGAGAATCGACTCCTTTACTTAATGGTTTGAAGCACCAGAACATATTGAAAAACCTATACTTATTAGGAAGTCAAGTGAAAGATCCAGAATTGTGGTTCCCTTTCTATTGAAAAACCTATACATAGTAGCTAAAATCTGACGACTCTCTTCTTAACCATACTCATCTGAAATTCTCATCAATCCTGTTAGGCTGTTACCTTTACTTAAATTAATCTGTTAAACACAAATCGCATAGCCTGTACCATTTGTAATATTTATTTATACTCAAAAAAACATAAGAGCTTGGCCTTTGTATACCTGTAATTGACACCTAATCCTATTCAGGCTGTTCAACACCAATGAGCTACTGTAGTAAATATGAACTGTTTAGACATGCAGGTGCATCAATTAACCACTTGGGAGTTGTTTTGACCAGATTATTTAGATGACAATACTAATGCTTCTATATTGTGTTCCATGGACCAACATATTCACGAATACTATCCACCACTTAGAGCCTGTTTGCTCTGCATTTTTTACTAATTTGTATGAAAATTGTGACCGTTGCACAGTGAGCCTGGCCGACATTTTTGACTGTTTTGTGTGATGATGGGGCCCATTAGTTCGAATAAAACGGTCAGAAATTTTCTACTAGTTGGTTGAAAATGCAGAACAAACAGGGCTTAATATCTCTAAATTTTCTCTAGCCTTTACTCTTCTGGACTCTTGTTTGTCCTGGAGTCAAAAGTCTCATGAAATTATATTTCAGTTACTGAAATGCATGAACTCAAGTGTGGATATCGCGCTGATCCAAATTGCATGTGCAACATTTTAGGTTTTAATAATTAATACTATAGCCTAGCCCTTATTCATTCATTCGCCCGAATTCCCATCTAAACTGAGGCTAGAAATTAACGGGCTATGCGGCTGCATGTTACCCTGTTAGAAAGCAGGAGAAGGAAACTCTTCATCCTAATTGTAAATTTTAATATTTTATTGTCTAAATTTTTGTTATCATATACTAAAATATTACATATTCAAGTACTTTGGTACTTTTGAGTGAGAGGTCACCCAATTTTGAGTGTAGTTTTGTTTATTCACTCAGCTTTTTTTTTCCTGAACTCATCAGTTAAGTTTCAATTTGATCCCTAAAAACGATTCTGTCACAAAATTTAAAGATGTTTGGTTGTACTTGTGACTTGTGAGCTAGTCAAACTTGCTTACCTTTAGTCGCCGAACATGTTTGGACGGTTGGACCTAAAAATACTCTTCTTTATAGCAACTTCTGTAAAATAAGCTGATTTTTTTTTTAAAAAAAGCACCTATGGCATACTTGGCAACTGCTTATTTTTCACTTAATATCGTTACGACTTTTTTTTTTGTTTTTTGTAATAGATGAATTTATTTGTACATCAACTTTTATAAAATTTCAGCCCTCCTAACTTAAATTCTCCACCCCTGCTTGAACTGGATAGCGCTCCTCTGTTCTCATCTCACACGTTGACTGTTAAAATTCTCGAACTTGAAAGATTACATATTTAACCTAACCGTGTCAACACCGTGGAATTTTTCTGAGGAGCTGGTTGTTACATTTGTGAAGTTGTTTGACAGTGAAAATAAAATGGGGTATAAATGTGAAGCTTAGGGATTTGAGGCTTCTTGTGGCAGGGTTATCTGTCTACACCTTTTGCCCAGTGATTTTATTTAAAAAGTTTACAGCTTTTTGATAAAACTTTATCAATTGGTCAAACTTCAATTTTAATTGCATATTTTATGGAACCT